CCGCGGAGATAAACATGCTCACAAAAAATCAAAGCAATAAATTGACAGCGCGAACAGAAATATTGAACCAACAATTAAGATTGAAGCAGCACTTCACATCATATGAAGATACCAAAAATTGGGTCGATTCGTGGATAGCCTCAAAAGATGAAGCGTTCTGCCGACGCGGTATCCGTATGCTGCCAGAAAGATGGGAAAAAGTGGCTAGCGATGGACAATACTTTGAATAAAACATAAGGTACTGTTCTTTCACAATAAATGCCCAATTTTTAATAAAAAAACGGCGGAGACTTATTTGTACTCCCAATATATATATATATATATATATATATATATATATATATATATATATATCAAATTATTTTCTATATGCGGCATATTTCAAGTACAGAAATTTAGTGGATATTACAAAGTGAGTTATAACAATGATAACGAATCTCGCAGAATCGGCTTTTCTTGATAAGAGCGGCAAATATATTTTCAGGTGTTATTCCTAGTTTGCAAATACCTTACATATCGATTGGAATTTTATTATTGTATCAAGTTTTATCGTGTTTCACAAAAAAAATATTATATTAATTCTATAGTAAATAATGCACTTATGTATTATAATTAATTACAAAATAAGTACAAAATTCAGTAATAATATTTGTAGAAAGATGATCTTCCTTGAGAAGACGACGTAAAGATTGTTGTTGATGTGTTTTAAATGACGCTTTCTCGTTGAAAACTGCACATATAAAAGCAGATTATTTCTTCCTTTCTCTTGTTTCTTTTGTTTGATCAAAACGATCACTTTCTTTCGTCTCGCAGAGCTTCGGAAAGTTCACAATCATGTTTTTTTCTTTTTTCTTTAAGAAATTGTCATAATTGCGGACTTGTTTCTTCGTGTACTTGTACAGTCTACTGCTCTGGGCGTATGCCTTGCCGTACATATTCCAGAATTTTTATTTTTCAACCATATGTAGCCGCATGTACTTCTCCAAATTATCTTTCATTGTTGACGTTTTCCGTAAACCGTACAGTATACATTTTTGTGTCTCTGGACATGCTGCTCGAGATTTTCTTTGGTTGTGAAATAACGTTTACAAATCTTGCAGAAAAACTCTGACTTGAAGTGTTTTCTTCTTTTGTGGTTATATAGTGGTTCTTGGCACTTGCTAACGCAAACACACTCGTCACAATTTATTATTTGCCTGTCAATATGGATCACAACCTTATGCCGCTTCAGATCGAAAGTCGTACTGAACTTCCTGACGCATATGTCACACTAGTAATTGAGCGCGTTCTACTTAACGCTCGCAACGACGCGAGCGTCATTTTATTTTTGTTACTTATTAGATGTTAAACGAAGATAGAATGAGGCTCGCATCGTTGCGAGTGTTAAATGGAACGCATCCATCGTAGGTCATCTCATGCATCCGTTTGATGTATTTATTCAAGCTGTCCTTTCTGTTTATCTTGTACGGACAGGTATACTTCAGTCCATAAGACATCTAGTCGTGACAATATAATTTGCTGTGAGTAATTGTACTTTCTGTTATGCTTTTGCATGCTAATCTTCTATATGGAATGTTCAATAAACTCACGAAAATGATCCACGCTTATTATGGCAATTCCTTCCTCGTTGAGATTCTGTTTTCTTGTGACTTCCTTCACGCAGTAATACTCTTGCTCCGTCTCATTGTTCGTCTCACTTTTTCTTATAATTTGATGTTTACATTCTTCTGGCAAAGAGACGATCTCCGTTGTGTACTTTATATTTTCGAGCGTATGTTTCGAGCGAGTAACCAGTATCTGTTACGATTAAGGAATTAATAGATGAATCAATAATATTATTAGAATCCGGAACGTGCAGACAATCCATAAGTAAGTCTCTGAAACACATGGAACAAAGAAGGATAAAATTAATCGCCGGAGCAAAAATTCTTTGTACCCGTTTTGGCAGTTCGCGAGATTTCCTCTGCGACAGGAGGCCTTCTTCGCATACGTAGGTGGTGCAATAGCCAATAGTAGACTGTTACGTTATATCACGCGAGGAAAATCTTGCGAAATGCCAGCATTGCTTTACAAAACAAGCGTTTATTTGCAAACAAAAACAGACAATAACGTACGGATTGCAGCTAGATGTCGATGAAAGTCATACCAATCTGGTGAAAACATAAAAACATTTTGCACGCGCGCAGTTTAAATAGACCATTCCTGATACTTTTTAATCACAGTAATATATGGTACGAACTTTTACATGTGGTATATAAATACATAGATACTACTCAAGTGGCATATCCTGAGAAGCTCAATATAATTCTACTATTCAATATAGTTATACTATTTCTTTAGTGGAATAAAGATACATTGAATGCTTTAATGTATCAATAGTGTGGATAGTTAACAAATATTTGAAGTACATATTTAATTACTATACAAATGAATACCATGGCCAATATTTATTTTAGTTACTCGCAAAATCTGTTTCAGGAAATCACATTAGTATTATGCAATTGTAGCAGGTATATCTACCATTGCTGAAGGAGCATATTTTTCCTCGACGCGTCACGAAGCGGAGCTGTAATGATGAACAGCAGCAACCGAGATTGGAACGACACATTTCTTACGAGATCGAAAGTCAAAAATCCGTTACCTTTTGTGTCGACTTAAACGGCGATCTTTGGCAAGTGCGGGCGACCCGTCTCGGCTCCTTCCAGTCCCACGTTTTCCTTCGGATCCTCCTCCCTCGGGTCGGCGAAGTGAGTATATGAGAGAGAGAGAGAGAGAGAGTGTTTATCATTTCCGTCTTCCTTTAGATCGGAAACTAATAATCAGAGGTTAGATATAAATCAATCCTTTAATAACAGTTATAAATATGGATAAATGTCCGGCAAAGAGACATAATTACAATTATTTCATGCGCGACGAGTATTCTTGATATAAATCAACGCAGATCTCTTGATCGGAAATCTCTCACCAAAAGTCTACAACTGGGTGCCCTGAATTAGATTTTCCTTTGTTAATTGCTATAGACTGATTAGCTCCGTCCTTCGGCCAACCATAGCCCACTCTCTGCGTGAGACTTCTTGTTCTTCCATATATATTCCTCTTTGTTTCTAAAACGCTTCTCTTCGGCGCAGCCTTTGGGAAAGAGGTGAAAAAAGCGGTCACCCTGGAAAGGTCTTGCAAGGACATCGTCAAAACTCCTCTGTCTCCATATCTCGGAGGGTTCAGCAGCCCTTCAAGCATCCGCCACACGTTGCTCCTTCCCCCGAGCCTCTGCTCTAATGAAGCCTTTGACGATACGGAGGCCAGAGGCGTCGTCACACATTCGTCGAGCCCCATTCGGCCGTCGCGATCGTTCCAGATCTCGGTCGAGGAGAACATAGACGACGAACAGGTAAACCTTGCCGACAGGCTGGCGCGCTTCTTATCTCGATGGCGAGACATTACCACGAATCAAGTAATTCTGGAGGCCATTTCTGGGTACCGATTACCCTTTACTAATTCTCCATCGCTCCAGTGCACCAAACCCACTGTGCGCATGTCTAAGAAAGAGCAGGAGATTTGCGGGCAGGAAATCGTTCGACTGCTGACAAAAGGAGCGATTGAACCGGTGTCTGACTGCGCAGGTCAATTCCTATCCTCTTTTTTCATAATTGAGAAATCTTCAGGAGATTGGAGATTTATTCTCAATTTATAGAACCTTAATAGGTTTATAGAGGCTCCACATTTCAAGCTCGAGGACTGGAAGACGGCGGTTCGTCTCCTATCTCCTGAAGACTTTCTTGCTTCGATAGACTTGGAGGATGCATATCTCCTATTGCCCATTTGTCCAGAGGATAGGAAATACTTGCGTTTCCGCTTTCGAGATCAGCTTTTTGCCCTGCCTTTCGGTTTAGTATCGGCACCGTATATTTTCACAAAAATTTTAAAGCCAATAGTGCATTCTCTTAGAGAGAGAGGTTTTCTCTCTGTTGTGTACTTAGATGATTTTCTCCTTATAGTTCGCAGTCTTACGATCATTGTGCGGTAAATATTTCCACCACGCTTCGTCTCTTGTCCACATTAAGATTCTACGCTTTTTTAAATGTTCACGAGATTTCGAATAAATGTTTAATTCACCATTTATTCTCCTTTTGCCAAATCTTAACAGCCAGTATAGCGAGGGCGCCATCCATTTGCCGTTTCAAGAAGTTTTTAAGAAGCCTGTTGGAAGCAACGCGACGGAACGCGACTACATTATATCCATCCGGAGACAGCATAATTGCAATCGAACTTCACTGTAAGTTCGTTCAATTTTCCAAATATAACGATTATTAATATGGGCCCGAGAGTCTGAAAGAACCAGCTGTTTATCGGTCGGCTTAACGTGCTGGGCGTTTGTCGATAAAAATATTTCTGGTGTCCACACTTCTCGTCGGACATAACCGAACTTAATCATAATGCAAAGATATTTACGCGCTTTCTGTGCGCTCATGCCCTTTTTTGTACGCATTGTTATGCGTGCGCGCGTGCATCGACGGGAATACTCGCCAGATGATCGCGGTATGCTTATAGTGCGACGCTTTTTCAGAATTTAAAAATGAGAGAGAGAGAAAGAAAGAGGGAGTAGGTGAGAAAGAGATATTATTTGTGCGCGTATTATGATCAAGCGCAGCTCCACGCAAAAGAAATCTCAATGGACACTGTTATTGTACTCAGAGCCGGATACGCGCATTTCTTTCCACGACAACTACGAGAATAAAGTTCGCTTTTAGATAAACCAGCCGTCTCGTTTGCGAATGCACGCACCATCGCGCTTTCGTAGGCGCGTTACGTCTCTATACGTTTCGCGCTACGCACAAGCAGCGTGCTGCGCCTAAAGGAGATTTGTGCCAGTGGTTCGCAGATCCTTGATCCCTTCGCGATGCAGAATACTGCGTCGCTCTTTAAATTCGAGAAGTCTGCTCGGAATAATATAGAAATGCACTTTATATTACAATATGTTGATATCAAATATTAAAGCTCCAGGATACTCGTCGCGGCTATATCGGGTCGCGACGTTACAAGCGAGAAATGACACGCTGAAAATTCTTACGTGCCACTTAAAAGTTCCAAATAAAAGGATACTTATGTGAAAGAATACTTCAGATCGCCTGAGAATATTTGCAAAATTCTTTTCCCTTGGCAGTCAATAAATAGCCGTAAAGTGGAAAGTTAAAGGTGACATAACACGTTAATTTTACAGCTATTTATTAACTGTCAAGGAAAAGAAATAGTTTTCAAAATATTTTACAATTACACGCATTGAAAAAAAATGTTTGGTATTTGTAATTGTAATCACGTGGAGAAAGAATTTCTGTAAATTGTGGCTAAGAAAATTATCTTTTTTGTTTTTCTTGTTTAATGAATCATACAAACATCTTCTCATTTTAAACATGCGTTTCCTCGCTTCTAACGTCATCAGTTCAAAGTTCTGCAACGAGTAGTCAGTAGTCCTAAACAAAATCATACTTTTCTGTCGCAGGACTTTTGCTGCAAATGCAAATTCGAGCAATTAAGAGCGCCAAGAAAAATCGCCTGATCTAAAAAATCGCCAAACGAATCAACATCGTTTCCTCCGACGCTTTTCCCGAAGAAGACCTTTGTCCGAGTCGTATCTCCTTTGGACAGCAGCTGGGAAACACTGTTTTATGTCATCGCAAACGACTACGTCGATCGAGCGGGACGGCCGCACGATGCCGCGAGCATCCGTAATAAATTTCACGGATATATTGGACGCAGGTCCTGTTTGCGCGCACGTGAACGCAAGTGGGAGAAAATATTCCTCATCGTTGTTGTCGTCGTCGTCGTCGTCGTCCAGAAGAGCGAGACGATATAACCTGTTGCTGTTGAGGACATAAAGGAGGTTGGAAATGGAGAGGGGCGCAGAGATACTTTATATTCATCCATCTCGTAAAACGTAATGGTTAAGTGCGTCGCAGATACGATCATGGCACGAGGTATAGAATGAGCGAACGCTGGCACATCACACTCGCATAAAGGACGGTTATGCGCGGGCATGGTCCCCTTTTCCATTCTTTTCTTAGTTTTTTCTTTTCTAAGGGGCACTTATTCGCGCAAATAACACCTGACTGGCAAGAGATTTCTTTCCCAGGACCACCGACGCAATGTTATTTTAATTTCTCGACGAGATTTCGCTTCTCAGATGAAAGAGAGAGAGAAAGAGAAAAAGAGACGTTCCCGAGTATATTATTGGAGTCCTCATCGGAGAGCGCGTTTCGCCGGCGTTCCGCGTCGCAAAACGTCTCAGTGTTCTCGCAATATCGTATCGCGATATACATATCAAGACCAGGTAGGACTCGACGAGAGGTCGATGATGGTAGCGCATCAGCGTGGTTTCCGCAACGCTGAGACGGAGGAGAAGAATGCATCCTCCTCTCGGAGCCCCGGCTCTCGCGCAAAAGGTAGAACTTTCCTCCACGGTTGAGCCGCTGATAATAATAGATCGTCAGGCACAATGGAGATTCGTGAAAGGCCTGACTGTCTGCGTTTGCCTTAAATGCCATGTATTAAGCGCGGCCGATCACAAAGAAATGCAGGTACAAGCGTCTCTCGCTCTTGCGTCGCTCTCGACAGCTGACGGGAAGGATGACGAACGCTCGTATGCGCGCGCGTGCCTCCGGGAGTCGCCTCGTTGACTCTCACTTTTCCCTCGGATATAGGTCGTCGTCGTCGTCGCCGTGGAATTGCAATCGTATGTCGAGAATTTAGAACTACCGGGGCGTGTGTACGCGCATAAACAGACGCGGCAACAAGTCGCAGACTCCGGACCGGGTAAATGTTTCTCCGGCGATTTGAATGTCAATCCTTTGCTGTAGCGGCGTTCCCTTTTCGAAATGTCTTGGAAAATTCGAGAGACATCGCGACAGTGCCTTCCGGGCTTTGAATCTAGATCTAAACGAGCTAGTTCTGAGATTCCTCTGTTTCTGGGATTGTTCCCAGAAACAGAAAATTCGACGAGCACTGCGGCGAGAACGGTATGGCTTTCATTCTTTTAATATAAATCTAAAAATAACTATATATCTCGCAAGTTTTAGAGCTGATTTCAACATTTCTGATGAAACTCGAGAAACAGCGCAATCGACGACGACGACTTTGGGTCTCATATCGGTTCTAAAAGCGGCCTGTATGAATAAGTAGCGCCGTTGAGCGCGCGGATCATTTCACGGTGTTTCTCAATCGATTGTGACAAAGGATAGCGGTTGGTGTATCGCGCCGTCGTTGCACATCTGTCAAGTGCAAAGGATGTTGACTCCCCCCGACGCGCGGGGACTCTTTAACCAGGACTCTCTCGAGGTGACTCCCGCACTCCGCGAGTGAGGAGAGACGGAGCGAAGAAAGAAGCACGCATTAGCGCTGGTAAAGCGAGCGCAACATTCACCGGGCTCTGTACCAGGAGGGAGGGAGGAAGGGAGGGCGCTTGTTGGTGGGGAGAGCCTCTGGTTACCACCGCGGGGACCCTCGTCCTGACTCCTGGTTACGAGGAGGACGTGGCGGCTGCGGAGAAGAGGGGACACGCGGCGATTGCGTAACAATACACCGCCGCCACCTGCACTCGTTTCGCCACACGGCTTTAACAGACTTGACGGTGGTTGGCCAGCCGGCTCGCATTACTTTCGCCAATTAAGCCCGCACGGCCGTTGTAATTTAACTTGCGAATATGAAATTCCAGAATTATTTGGAATTCCAACGAAGGGAGACGCGGCGCTTTTTGAATCCTCCGTGGCCGCCGAGGGAAACCGAGGTTGCGCAAGAGAGAAGACCGCAACGACGGAGGATCGCGTCGTCGCGTGAATAATCGTCATCCCCCCGCACGCAATCGGATATGGATAAGCAGTGGATGATCTTCTTCTGCCGGACGTTCCTCCTCGGGTGCTCTGATTACAAACCTTGAGTGCGGCCCTGTGGAAAACGAATCTAAACGTAGGAAGGAACGACAAGTAGGAGTCTCAACGCAGTTATTAGTGCGCAACCATTATATATTGTGGTAAAGAATTAAATTAGTTTTCACTTCTTTTTTCCAATCGACACGCAAATGTATCTAACAGTTTCAAGAATTTATTTCAGTTTACTGTTCACTTGTGTCGCTTAGTTTATAGGAAATTTAAAGACGGTCTCGACAATCGATCAGTAACCGATTAACAACCAACATTGATATTTTTTTATTTATTGTACGCTTCAGTTATTTGTTGATTGTTGATACTTTTGTAGCTGATATCATTTTTTATCGTTGACGTTATTGTACAATTATTGAAGAGAATTATGTTTTCGAAACATGTTCGTTCCTTACTAAAAGATGTGATGATTAATTGCTATCATCCCAGATAGCACTTAAAAAAAAATTCAGTCGTATGTCACCAATTCTGAATTCATTTTTAGGTGCAAAAAGAATTCTTTTTACTGAACTGAACTTTGAAGGGTTCTTTTTGCATCTGAAAATAAACTCAGAATTGGTGACATATGATTGAATTCTTTTTACATTTTTTTTTATTCCCTGTGCTATCTGGGATATCTTAGTTGTCATAATTTATATTTGAAAAATATACTCGGTTATTATTGATTTTATATTTATCATATTTATAGGTATAATAATGGCCTACTAATAATTGCAGAGAGGCTTTTATTTGTCATTTTTTCCTATATTTGGATATTCTATTGCGTTTTGTGAATTCGGCATACTTGATTAATTTTATCGAAACATCGCTTTGAACCGACTACCGTCGGATTCGTATTTCGCGATTTTGCAACCGCGTGCACGTCGATTATCGGTGCATTTTGGTAGAAACAAAAGAGAAGAGAGGAACGCGCGAATTATCTGTCGTATTTATAATTTCGCTGACACTTGACATGACGACTATCGTGAGGATTAAGCATATCGGTAGGAATTCCGATTATCACAATTAAAATGTGCTATAATTGATATCGCGCGGGTGTTATAATTAGTATCTGCATCACACGTGGTTGCAGAAGATACGCCGAGAAGTGACGACATCGAAGCTTTGGAAGCGGCAGGTGCGGACAGAGAGATGCTGGTGAATGTAAATTGTCCGATTAGGATGGTGCTCGACTACATAAGAAAAGCCGCGCGACTGAGCGACACGTGTAAACAGTGAACTGGAACCCTTGGAGTTGTTAGACACGTGTGTGTATTGATTGAAAGAATAATAATATTTTGTTTTTTTTTTTGTAGGCGAATTCGATTTATGCGACGAAATAAATTGCCAATTAAAAAATGTGTCCTTCTACGAGCCTGACACGCGGGGAACGGATGTTCTTCAGCCAAACTTAACATATTTCATTGTCACCTTTCAACGTGAGCGATGCGATTAATATTAACGTATTATAATTACGCGAAATGTCTTTCAGGTGATGAAAATGGCCAGATGATCAATCTCACACCGCTCTTAACAGCGAAAGCGGCCAAGAGATATTGCGATATTATGACGAAAACGCAAAGACCATCGCGGAAAGCTTTGTCTATTAAATCTACTTTGAAAAACAACAATCATTTAAATAAATCTAACGAATAAAGTTTTGTTCCTTTCAGCTAAGTTCTTTACGTTAAAGAAATTTATATTAAAGCGTTTTTCCTGGCCGAAATAACGTCAACATATATGTCCATAAATCTCAATAAATTAAAAATATCTCTTTTTTTAAATACATAAATTAATAAATGAATTAATATAATTAAATATAAATTAATATAATCAATTTCTTTTTGTGTCATATTGGTTAAATATAAAGATTAATCTGCCTTATTATTGACTCTTTCGCTACCTAAAGTGAAAACAGTACGGTTGATTTGTCGTTGAGTCGTACTACGATCTCGTTTTTTTTTTTTTTTTTTTATTAGAAATAAAAGATGTACAAAAAGTGCACGAGTCTAGGTGCTAAGCTTATCCGATCCTTACATAATACAAATTTGAAAATGAATACATTTTTCTTAGGAGTAATATACAGTATTAATAGAATATAAGTTGTAACCTTAAATCTAGTAACAAGGTAAAGAAAACGCGTACTACGATCTCGATTCTCCGATGAAGATGGTGGCGGCTTCTAGCAGAAACTTTGGAACTAATAAAAAGTAACGGGTCTAATAGACCCGATCGAAGTTGGTTAACAGCTTGTCAGAGAGAAGCGTAATGGCTCCTGCACACAGGACGCGGTAATGCTTGCCGCGCGGCGGAAGTTCGCGCGACAGCCAATCAATATGTTGCCTTCCGTAATAACCTTCTAGTTCCTACGGAAAAGCAACATATTGATTGGCTGTCGCGTGGACTTCCGCCGCGCGGCAGGCGTTGCCGCGTTCTGTGTGCAGGAGCCATAAGAACAATGTCCGTTCTTCTCAATGGGTAACAGGTAACATTCTAATTTTGTGGTTCTACTCCGTGCTGCTTTCGTACTTTCTCATTCTTATTTTACAAAACTACAAAAATGTATAAAAGATTGTCTTGTATCTCACGGACACGTTCCTAATGAATACTCGAGACTTTTAATTGTAAAATTTTTCTTGAACCATCTCACAATCTTTATTTTCATAGAGGTTACAGCTTGTTGGATTTTGCATGATTGACAGCGTTGTTATGCAAAATAATCAATAATTGTTGAAACAAGACAAATTTATTAAATAAGTATATTTTTGTAAATTAACTCAACTTAAAATACTTTGAACTATAAATATTACATCGAACGTATCATGATTAGTCTATTTTTACGAATTAACTCAACTTAAAATACTTTGAACTATAAATATTACATCGAACGTATCATGATTAGTCTATTTTTACGAATTAACTCAACTTAAAATACTTTGAACTATAAATATTACATCGAACGTATCATGATTAGTCTATTTTTACGAATTAACTCAACTTAAAATACTTTGAACTATAAATATTACATCGAACGTACATTATTAGATTTGGTTTCCGGGTTTGAGACGCGTAGATTCTTCTTTGACTCCGCTACCACACTATCTGGTCGGATCTAGCCAGATCGTGTGGTAGCGGAATCAAAGAAGAATCCACGCAGCTCAAACCCGGAAACCAAATCTAATATTCGTGGACACCGCGAAACCCTCAAATGTCATATCATGTACATGTGAACTTAAACCGAAATTTTCGTCTAGAGTAAAGTCTTATCAAGCTCTCTTATATTCTTATCAATAGCCTTGATATTGTAGAACTTCCCGTGCTTTCCTATTCCCTCTTCGACGAATTTTTTGGCGCCCGTGACACCCTCCTCAAACACCAAATGCGACGCGTTATCCTTCTCGAACTGCAGCGCCTCGTCCATCTGTTTCGCTGAGAAAGTAGCGAAGTGTGCTGACGCGCGATCTGCGAGCAAAGTCTTCGGTGGGAATTTTATCAGGCAGTTCGCCAAATTCACAGACACACCTAAAGCTGGCAAACAATCAAAATGAGAGTATTTATAAGTCCAAGTTTTCTCCCTCCTTGAGCTTCTTACAGCTTCCATAGTAAATTCCATTCAGCACCAACCTGCACCACAGGCAGTCACTTTGTTCGCAATACCCCAATTCAACATTTCTTCTGCAGTGACCAGCCTTCCTGTCAATATGAGTTCCATAGCTCTGGAATATCCGATCATGGCGGGTAAACGGACAGTGCCTCCGCATAAGATTGGAACACCGAAACGTCTGTTCAAGAAACCAACCATTGCTGTCTCTTCTGTGACCCTCAGGTCACACATCAACGCCAGTTCAAAACCTATGCCAACTGTGTATCCAGACAAACATGCCACCAGTGGTTTTTTGGACAATTCAGTTCTGTTTGCCTACACATACAATTAGAGAAACATTTATTATTATAAAATAAAGTTCTGTTTTTTCTCAAAAAACTTCCTGTACTGGTATACACTGATGTAATAAGTTAAAATATATTTATTTTACTCTAACTTATTGCACAAGTATACGTCAGGTCAAAGGCTTGTTCTCTATTGCTGAACTCGCTGCACTTATGGAACTTGAGAATGGATAGGCAGTTGAGGCTTGGTAGAAGAGAGAGGAAAGGAAAACTAATGCAAGTTAGTGAAGCTAGTTTATCAATAGAAAACAGACCTAGAAACAGACTTCAAGTATGCAGGCAATATGGGCTGCGTTTAGGAAACACAACAATTGAGTGAGCGCTCACTGCTGTTGGAATATTCTGCTAGAAGAATATTGGCAGAATAGAAAAGAATATCTCGATCAAGGGCGATAATTACTCATTGGTTACACGATCGTTGTGTTTTCTCAACGTACTCGTATATATTATGAACGTACCAATGGTCCAAAGTGTGGAATACCATCTTCACACTCGCCGTCGTAGTTCGCGATCTCATGAAGGTCGTAACCGGCGCAAAAGTTGCCTCCTATCCCGTGCAACACCGCCACCGACGTCTCCTCGTTATTTTCAAATTCGTCCAGTACTTCCGACAGTAACTGCGCGGTCGTAGTATTCAGGGAATTCTGCTTTTCCGGCCGGTTGATACCGATCATGGTGACTTTGCCGATTTGATCTACCACTATTGTTTTTTCTGGAATGACATGCATTATCGATGATTCCGGCCGCAAAACATATTACACATACTTTAAATATATATCTCCGCAAATCTTTTCTTCAAGATCTCAAACAATATCACCTTTATCCTTCTTGGCATTCGCATTCGCGTCCGGTTGAGAGGTTAGAGCTCGCCGCACATTGTGCCTCAGCGTTCGTGCAAACAAACCAGACAACTTTCTCAGAGGATGCATTCTTCGCACTGATGATCTCTCCTATGATAGATTATTTTACAAAATCCTATTAAATCCTTAAACTATGCGACATAATCTCGGCAATCTCCTATACGAACGACGCGTGAATTTTGTCAGAACTTCAACTTCAATATTTGGCTCCAGCCTCTCTAAGAGTTATGCCCCAACGCCATTATTCCGATTTATGATATATTTTGAGAGCAAAGTCTTGGAAAATTCCAAGGCACGTTCCAAAAAATCACAAAATCCGAACTTGTTTACGTCTTATCATGACAGAGGTTAGACCGGGACTCGAGAGAGAGCAGCCGGGCCGGCGTCAGCTGAAATGTATCGATTGAGTCTCGAGACGAGGAATCGATACATCAAATCGTAGATGCACGCAACAATCGATAGTATTCAAAATATGTCTTTGAAACCTCTAGACTCGCGCAGAGTGAGAGTTTCTAAAAAATTTATCGCTCTACGCTATTAGAAAGCGAATTATTGGACGAAACTAATAAAACTAATCGTAATTGATTAATACGCCATGCTTCAATAAGCCAAATCGACACGATAATCTTAATCTATGAAGTTATATTATTGTAGGACGCAGTGTAGGTTTCTTATAGGACTATTATGTGCATTTCGGGGACGAGAAAACGATAAATTTTGAATGATTTATTGCTTAATATCGTTAAAATGTAAATAATCTTCGTTCATGTAACTCTGATCGTAATTAATTGATTCGTTACATACCAATTCCTTTAAAAAAAGTGTAAAACCTCGAATTGGAATATATCGAAGCGTTGAAGCCTCTTTTTCACAATGGAGTGAGAAAAATAAAGAGAAGATAAATATTGAAAATAAAATATAAATGGTGTTTGAAATTAAAAAAACATAAAACTCGTATAAAACGTAATTATTAAATATAAAATGATTCTTATCATGATTATTTTTATTCTTATCATCCTCTCTAAAAAAATATGTAAGAGATTTAATTGTTGCCGCTTTTCCAGAAGAGACATGTCTCTCCCTGTCTCTCCCTATCTCTTTCTGCCTCTCCTATCTTTCCCTGTCTTTCTCTGCCTCTTCTGTCTCTCCCTGTCTCTCCCTATAATTATTAATTAATTAAAATATATTTTAATTTAATTTAATTTTTATTTTATTATTATTTTATAATTTTTATTGTTTTTTATTAGATATATAGCGCGCACATATATTGTTCTAGTGATTATTAAATATTAAATATAAATATAAAATACATTGATTGACATAACAGTACTAACACGTGAAGTTACACTAGTTTGGAACACAGAATGGAGTTCTTTAACTCTAGAATAACATCATTTCAGCCTCTTGAAATTGAAGCTTTTGTGCCGATTATTATTAAGCGTCTCGAGACGCACTTCAACCCGGTCTTTCTCGATCGATCGCGTTTTCTAACAACGAGCGGTCGACTCTGCCGACAGGATCCGACAAGCGCACACGGCAAATACGCGGAATTCAGGCCGACGACCGCCTCGAGGAAGAGATGAGGACGGGCCAAGTTGAAGCCGGGAGATGTGGGATCAGCTACCGGAGCTGATACTGACGCAGATATTCGGTCACCTCGATCACGCCGATCGCGCCAGCGTCGGTGAAGTCTGCCGAGCATGGAATCGCGCGCTGTCCTCGCCGGTGCTCTGGCGAACTGTCACGGTCGTCATCGATCGCGACCTGCGCGACGACTTTCCACCCGCAGCGATATTGACCGTAAGAGCGTTCTCCATACTGCTATCCTCTTCTCGAGAGTGCATTTTAATCAAGTAGCGCTAGTAAAGCTAGAATGCAAGAAATACTGGAAGATATAGAACCCTGAAATACTTTCCTGATGTCAATTTCCTGATTTCGTTTTTAACAGGCGCAACCTTTGATAATCGAGCGTGTTGCTTACTTTCATTTACTGTCGTTTACTAGGTACTACCCAAATAGCACAAACTCCTAAAAGACATCTTGAATACGTCCTACTGTTCTTGGAACAGTCCGTTTTTTAGGAATTCGCGCTGTCTAGAAAACGTCTACTGTTGTCTATCGTCCATTAACTATAATCGTCTACTGCTTACTATCCAGGCAGCACAGATTTTTAAAAGACTCTATATTCCTGGAAGCCGATCTTTCAGAAGTTCGCGTCTAGGTAACGTCTAATGTCTATTATCGCGTTGCACGCTCGTGATGTTGCGCCGAGACACGAGCGACAGCGTCGATTAATCGCTGAACTTCCATCACAGGCGAAGTACGGACAACATATGCGCAGCCTGGAGCTCGCCTTCTCGCGACCCTACATCTGCCCGAGGACCCTGCACCGCGTCAAGCTCATATGCAGCGCTCCGGCCTCGGCCGGCGCCGGCTTTCTCGCGATCGTCCGCACTAAGGATGTGCAGCTGCGACAGCTGACGTTGACGAATTGGGCCTTCGCCTACAACCGGGGAACGTTGCTCGGCGCCTTGGCGCGCTTTCTGCGGTGATCAAATCATTCCTCCATCAACCTCGCGTCACTCGAAAGACCACGTAGAACTATATAGATTACGGAACTCTTTTTTTCTCTCTCTTTCCCTTCCAATTCCGCAGCGGTCAACGCAATCTCGAGACTCTGTGCCTGCTGAACGCCGACTTCGGTGTGACGGATGTCTTGCGTATGCTGGGGATGCTCGCCAAGGAGTCGGGCGAGCACTTGGCCTCCTTGGATCTGCGCGGCGCCTTCAAAGAGTGGCAAACTCCCCACGACAATCGGAGGTACGCGTCCAGCGACGCGGAAGTAATGCACAACTAATGATCCAAAATTTAACTCGTTTGACGATCGAGAAATTCATCAATAACGATAAAATGTCGCATATGAATATTACAGATGATTTAAATGTATAAATATGAAATTATTAATTACACTGAGAAATTCATTGATAACTATTATTTCTTGTGTGATAACGAGCAATGAATTGTTCCTCGCAGATACCTGGGTCTGCTGAGCCGCTTTCACTCGTTGAGCCAGCTGAAATTGGACTACCCGGCTTTATCAAATCACGTTCTCTATGTTCTCGCGAACGGTGCGTCGAAGGCGCTGAAAAGCCTGCACATATTCGTGAGAGACTCCGATTCCAGGCAGCACACGTTGGCGGACACCGCTTGGCGCAACTTGACGTCGACTTGTCCCGATTTAACGGTGTCTTATACGATAGGTATAACAAAGCGTTGCCGAATAACAAAGCGTTGCCGTGGTTGTCGAGTCGTCTAACGAGATTAGCCGCGCGAAGACACATTCGCAATTTATTACTCAACTAATCGCGCCATTTAGCTTTTCAAGTTTGATTTCCAGTGAACATCTCGCACTACGAGGACATGTACTACTTGTTGTTGCCTAGCGTGCCTCTGGCCGAGTTTCACATGTTCAGCGGTCACGTATGGGATCAAAGCAGATCGCGGAACTTCAGGAGCACGATCGACCTACTGATTACTCAATACACGAACACGTTAGGTATTCTCGTGATTCGCCGACTCATCCGCGCGAACGACGAACTCGTCGGTGCCGTTGAATTTGTCATTCGATTTTTTATCGCGGGCAGGAATTATTGCAATAATCGTAGTTTAGCGACGAAATCAGATTCGCATCTGCCGGGATAGATTGATTAAAAGAGAATGCTAATTGTATAATAATAATCGTGATAATCCGGCGTCTAGAAGGCTTTCCTTTCACAGTCGAGGTGATGCTGCAACTCAGAAATAATCGCGAATCCCTGGACGATTTATTGGTGTCCATGTTGGTGCGTTGCAAGCGCCTGATGAGATTGCAGTACGATGGGATTATAAGGAGCCTCGATACCTTGCGCGAAATATGTCAGCTTCAAGCCGAACACAAAACACGTAAGTTAGAGGAACAGCCGCGTTGCATCAGCGGTGAACACGAAACCAAGAGAAATGTAATCGTAGGTTTCAAAACAATACACGTGAAGCCTCGGGACATCAACATCCAAAATCGCGCCATACTGAACGACATCAATTATCAATACGACCGCAAGATGCACGAGCAAGGAGTCGACTTCCGGCTCGAAGATCCCACCTCGATTTTATTCTTTTACTGACGATTCGTTGTCGTTGTCGTTGCACCGGGCGATACGTCTTCCATTAACGTCTTACCAAAGAATCTTATGTATTTTTATAGCTCGCGACTTGTATTTAAAAGAAAATTAAAAAATTCTTTTTTATTCGAAAATATAATATAAGAATATAATATGCATCGCGTTGTGCAATTATTTACGATTGACAAACCATATGTTGCTAGTATTTAAAATGGGAGACTTTTGCCACTTTTATCATCACTCTGTTTCTATCACTAAGATAACAAAATACATTTGCCTATCTATAGTTCTGAGATATGAGAAGAGAAGTTCGTTCTTGTCAGTTTTTATTCTCGAACTTTTGGTCATGTTAGGGACATGGAAGAAGTATCAAAAGTGAAACTTAAACGATTAAATCGGCCGATCGCATTCAACAATTATTTAATTGTTTAATTAATATTGGAACGTAAGACTATTATATTAAAATTTTCAACTGCGATTGATCGATTCGTAAAGTAATGCTGTTTTGACCATACCTAGTGATCCTATGATCCGATCAAGTTGTCTTACCGTTCATCCAAGTAACGCTGATGAAACGTCCGAGAAGTCAGAACACGCTTGAAGCATTTACACGACGTTTCTCAAACGTTTTGCATAGTCCGGTAATGTTGAGTCTATCGACTTGTCTCAATGACAGGACGATATATGACTATTGAGAACGGTTCGCGTGATAAAACCTTTGTCGCATTGCGGACAAATGTACGGTCGTTCGCCCGTGTGATATCGCTTGTGAACGACCAACGTGGACCTCTGCGTGAACGTCTTGCCGCACTGATCGCACGAATACTTGCGTTCTCCGGTGTGAGTGACGCTGTGGGTCCTCAACAGCGTCTCACAGGCGAAGCACTTGCCGCATACTTCGCAGGTGTACGGCTTCTCGCCGGTGTGTGACCTGTTGTGGATCTCGAGGCCCTTCGCGGTTTTCAGTTCCTTACCACAGAACGCGCAGAGGTACCTGCGTCCTTCGCAGCTGGGGTCGCCGTGTGCCTTCGCCTGGTGCTGCTTCAACATCAATTTGTACTTGTACACCTTGTCGCAAACGTCGCACTTGTGTTCGCTCACGGGTTTCTTCTTCTTAGCCGCCGTCGCAGAGTCGTAATGTTGCAGACGATTGTGTTCCTTCAAGCTATACATATGACATATTTGTTTTTATCTCTTTTTTTATCATAATAATCCGCACAGTAATCATTATTAAGTGACATATAGTTTATGAACGAATTTAGGTCCATATCAATAGTCGTTATTTGAAACTAGTCTCAAATGAGATGTTTAAATTTTGAGTTAGATATTAGTTTTTTACTTGGGCCGCTATTATAAGTATAATGTCACATATATCATATAATTCAACTGAGAAACTAGTTGATCTAACTCTAAACTTAGGTCTGAGAGTGTTGGTCAATTTAAATAAAACTTTATTATTTTATTTAAGCTAATTTTATTTATGTTTTATTTATTAAGCTAAGCTGCAGCAAGTGTCAGTAATTAGAAGAGGGGACATACCTGGACACGTCATTGAAGACACTGTCGCATGCGCCGCATCGCTGATACTGCATGAAGTCGTGCATCGTCGTGTGCGTGACCAGAGCGTCCTTGTCGTCGAAGTTCTTGCTGCAAATCTCGCAAGTAAACTTCAAGGCGCGATGGACCTGTTTCCGGTGTTTCTCCACGTCAGTCGCGCTCACACCCATAAAGCTGCACTCGTTGCACGGCACTGTCTTCGGCATGTGCGACTTCTTCACGTGAGCGTTCAATATGAACTGCTGAGGGTAACTCTTGTCACAGTTGGCGCACTTGAAGGGCCGGGTAATACCGTGTACAGTCCGCAGATGCGCGACCAGCCTGGAGACGAAGTAAAATTTCTCCTGGCACATTTCGCAGGTCTTGGCGATGCTCTCGAGTCTGTAAGCATGCGAAACGACACACATTTCCGTAACGGACCGTTCTCTCTGCGCCAACCGAACTGGGCCGAGTCATTTGATCTACAAGACTGGCATCCAGCCTATCAAAGCCAACGCTCTTGTCTGTGTATTCGAACGATTATAAATTTGTTTATTATTAAATCCAATCAATTCCAACATTTTGGTCTATTGCAGCTTCTCCTCAGTAGAATCAAATGGATGTTAACAAAAATAATTAATCGGGTAGAATTTAACAAGAAAATACGAAGTCAAAAGGTTTATAATTAAAAATCGACACACATTTGACACACATGAAGTTGGAAGAACGAAGACATTCTGTTGGATTTAATGCAGATTATGATTGGACAAAATGCATCACCTGAATGTCACTTTAGACATCCTCTCGTTAACGATCTAATATGCTAAATAATAGTTTATAACTCATGATAATCGCAACTCAATGAAACGTCTCTCCGCAAGAAACATAAATAACATGCAACTCACTTCTGTCGAAGATCAGACAAGGAAGTCTCGTTTGTCGCTTCCGCATCGGCGCAGCTGGAAAGCTCATTGTGATTATTGGTCGGTCGGCTGCAATAATTGAGACAAGTTATTGACACAACATCACAGAGACATGAAAGTAATTCTATTTTTGGGATCTTTTATGCCCGAAAGAATCTCGGCAAGTCGTATTCTGTGACCGACAACACCACGACGCTTGTGAACGGAATTTTTTTTTATTTTAACGAAACAACCTGTTCCATATTATAACAGAATGTCAATTAGTTAAATAAATGTATTCCTTTATTTACAAAGATCGATTACAAGAGATTACAATCACACAGGGAAGACCGCAGAGCAAGTTGCCATATTTTTTAAATACTGATTAAAATAATAAAAAGATGCTTGCAATATATATATATATTTTTTTTTTTTGTGATATCATGTGCACATTTTAATGTAGCTTTTAGATCTATATGAACAATTGATCAACTGGTTCGTCTTTTCACGTCTTCGGTTGCGCGGTGACAGCTTTCTTGTGCATTTTTCGGTGTCTCTTGACGGAAGAATTGGACACGAAGCCCTTACCGCAGTCGGGGCACTGATACGGCCTCTCGCCCGAATGAAAACGCAAGTGCAACACCAACGGCGTCCTCTGCGCGAAGCTCTTGCCGCAATGCGGGCAGACATGCGGACGTTCACCGGTGTGTGTCCGCTTGTGGATGCTCAGGTTCTCTTTGCTGGCGAATTTCTTGTCGCATATGTCACACTCGAAGACCTTCTCGCCCGTGTGAGCGCGTTTGTGCACGGTTAATCGTCGTTGGGACGACAGCTCCGCGCCGCACACGTCGCACAGATACTTAGTGGTCGGACTTGAGAGTCCATGCTGATTCTTCATGTGCTGCCGCAGCAGCCTCTTGTAGACGAATCTCTCCGGGCAGAGCTTGCACGCATGCTTCGCACGCGCGTTGCTTTTCGCGCCGGCCGGGCCAGTTTGCTTGCTGGCAGCGTGCTGCGTCGCCATGTGTACCAACAGGTTCTTCTTGTAGAGGTAGCACTTGTGGCAGTGCTCGCAGCGATAGAGATTCTTGTTGGTGTGCGCGTTCTCGTGCTCCAGGTACTCGGTCTTGTGGTAGAAACTTCGCTCGCAAGTCTCGCACTTGAAACTGTAGTCCTGCGCGTGCCGACGACGATGGCACTCCAGATTGGACTTCTGATTGGTGCTGTAGTCGCAGAGCTCGCAGACGAACACCTTTAGTCCCGTGTGGATCAGTTTGTGGCGGGCTATGTTCATCGGGCTGCGGAACGTCTTGTCGCACTCGTCGCAGCTGAAGGCGCGGTCGATGTTGTGCAAATTCTTCAGGTGCTCCACAAGCTTCCTCGTGTGCCGAAAGCAGGCGCCGCACTTGACGCACTGGTGCACGGCGCGCGTCTTGCCTCGTCGTTGTCTGAAACGAAAAAGAGTCGTAGTAAAATATTGGGACAAATTCTCGCCGGAGGTAGACTCATTAAAACGTTACCATTTTAATTGTGATCTTTAATTATTTATTTATTCTAATTATTTGATTTAATTTATGTTAATAATTAACTTATTAATTAATACTTTTATATATATATATATATATATATATATATATACACATATATATATACATATAAAAGTATTATATATATAACGTATCGTTCTATAAGCTACCTCCTATCATTCCCTTCGTCGGATAACGTTTTAAAACAACTAGACGTTACAAGAAACATTAGTGATAACAGTGTAATTATACAATACATGAGACTGTTAAATTCAAGCCAATTAGTTTATGTTGGAGCACCATGTCTATATAATAAATTATTAAGCACGTTCTAAAAATCATGTCCTGTCCAGTAATGCAATAATTTTTTTATACTTTCTTATCTTTTTACCTCCGTATAACATATTAAGGCCTTATGCCACTGTAATTTTTTCAAAATATCAAATATCGCTGAAAAAATTGGAAGATAAAACAAATATAAACTTGGAAGGCAATTTATATGGTGCTGGCATTGCTGACTAATGGTAAAAATTTTTTTTATATAAATTTTCAAGTTTAAAGCATAGAATTCAGATTAAACGCGATTATCTAAAAACTATGTTTTTCAAATTGGCTTGCAAGATAACTCTCTCAATTTTTATCCGATTGAGTTCAAATTTTAACTATAGCTTCTTAATTAGATTTCGCAGAGAATGTCGTACGGATTTTGCCAAATATTAAAAATTATAAAAGTTATTAACAAAAAACTCATTTTTTTGCGAAAAAAATCGACTTTTTTTCAAAAGCTTGCCATTTTTTCAAAAATCAATATTTTCAAAATTCTGTACGATATTCTCTAGACATTTTCATGTAGTTTAAGAAGAATTTTTTTTTTTTGCAGGATCAAAACTCTTCAAGATATTTTGCAAGCCCCGGAGCAACTTTTTAAAAACACGTTTTTTTGACAACGGCCGTGTGC